CAAGAACAGTGATGTAGGCAATCAAAATCATGGCCATTTTGCTACCCTCCTTTTCTGACCAACTCAGCTAAACAAGCACTCTTAAGAATTACCAAGCGAGAGAAGCTATTGAAGTGAGTTTGTTGAGCTTGACTGAAATGGAGAGATTTCAAAAGTTTTTATAGGCAAAGATTATGCTAGTAATCAAGTATTTGCCAGCTATGTTTTGTTGGTTTAACCACAAACAAAATCATTTGAAGGCAGTGTCAGCTTTTTTTTTTTTTTTTTTTTTGCCTTTCTCTAAACTCTATAACAACCTGGACTGGCCATACAAAGGCACATTATACATTTTTTTTACAACTATGGAAATTGGATTGATTTAAATATATAGTCATTCTAACCAAGTTTTGCCAATTACCATTTACTAGTGAGGATAATCTCATATCATACAATAATTTCATCATTCTATAATTGGGTTTCGGTTGAATTATTCATGGAGACCTTATCTTTATTTGACTATTATATGTCTTTTGCAGTCTTTAAATATTGATTAATCCTTTTAAAATAAAGCTGTCAATTCCCCCTTAATCAATGTCTAAAAGTTTTTCAATTTAGAAATGGGGTGTCATGTTAGAGAATCACCTTGCAGCCTCTTTACAATGATAAACCGACATTATAGGAATCTTAAGGCATAATTTAACATACAAGTAACGTGGTTAGTAGCCTAAAAACATAAATTAAATAGGAAAGTATGATTAAATAATCAAATTGGGAATGGTTTAGTTGGCATTTTCATTGCAATTTTCTTGCTTCTGGGAGCAGAATGCATTTTAGCAGTTAGCAGCAAGCAACAGCTGGATCATTTCATTATCTCTGTTTTCTACTACCATTGAGTGTTTAGTACAGTTATCAATAGGTTTGATTTTTCCATGCACGCGGCATAATAAAGAGTAGATTAAGATAATTTTCTTGAATGTTTTCTGTTTATTGGTAAGTGTTTGGAGACATTGGAAGGTTGATTAGTTAAAAATTAGTTTGGAAGTTAAACTTTTGAGATGGATCGTTTTTTTCTTTGACCAGTTTTCAATATTGAGTGAACCTTTTCTATTTCGGAAAGGACTGAAAGAAAAAGGTATATATATTCCAAAATATGAATTATAATTATGCGTTATAATTTTCACTGGTTAAATGGGATTCTTTAATTTTTTTCTGACAATCTCTGGTTTGAAGGTTTTTCTGGTTAGCAAACGGTAGATTGGCAAAAGAAAATCTTTCTAAAGAACTCATCTGACAAAACTTGTTAATCTCAACAAGTGACTCCGTGGCCCAATGGATAAGGCGCTGGTCTACGGAACCAGAGATTCTGGGTTCGATCCCCAGCGGAGTCGCATCTTCTACTTTATAAAAACTTATCATCCTGTTTTTGTTTTCTGAACATAGACAGCTTTGTACAGGAATCATTGCTACAAATCACTAATACAAATAAATAAATAAACTATTGCAGAAGTCCTTCACTTGCTTTTTACAGTTAAAGAGTAAAACATAGCTTCACCTGGTATTCTTACTAAGTTAACCTGTTGTCAGTCTAAAGATGAATGAACACCTCAGATTGATAGTCCTACGGCATGTACATTAGTTAAAACATATTCTACACACTAGTAAAAGGGAAATCATACCGATTTTCTATGCCAGTGATGCAATACTACTACACTAGATAGGCATAATATGAAATGAATTTTGACAACAAAATCAGCCTCAACCACATTGGTCAGATAGATAAATAAAGGATGGTGTAACTATAATGCCTAAATCTCTAAGAAGAATGATGATAAAACTAGCAAATAATACTATTCCAGTGAACAAAACTGGTGAGTTGATTTGTATTCTAATCTAAAAATTGTTAAAAGTATAAAAGAGGAAATCAGTAAAAGTTAGCAAACAATAAAAGAGTTTCAGAAAAGGTGCTCAAGAAAAATCCATCCTTTTTCTTTGAAGATAGAAGCAACGACGGAGCCTATCACATGCTTGTGCTCATACATAAAACGGCTAATCAAGCATAAAGCCCGATCCTCGCTAATAAAATAATGCACCGATCTCCTTTCCAGCTCTCTCCGATCAAGTCTGTTCTGTTTTTGATGCAGCCTTCAGCTTCTCTAGTTGTTTCCGAAGATAGGCCTGCCTCAGTTTCTCACGACAAGCTACTGGTTGCTCTTGCCTTTGCAACTTAAGCTCAGACACCTTTCCCCTAGCCTGATAACTTCCCTGTGAATAACCATCAACTAACTAATTAAGGCCTTCAGTTTTAGTTTCGTGGCTAAAAACATCTATACCAATATCTTACAAAACATAGCCTTGTGAAAGTGTAAACTAGCAATCCAAACATTTTTAGTTCAACTTTAAAGTTCAAAATTTTCAAGATTTACTTCCATTCTTCAGTACCTTCAGTAATGTCTTACATTACCATATTCGTGAATCAACCTTTCTACACAATGCAATCCAAGGACTAGTGACTACTATATTCGTTATACCACTCCATCAGGCATCAGGCATCAGGCAATTAGTCAAAAAAATAAGCAAAATGAAAACAAACACAACTATAGTAGTAGCCATGAATTTAAAAAAGGGCATCAACTCAAATCTATCGCTTATTTTACAGAACTTTGCTATTCTTACCTACGGTAAATTTGCACATTATTCTTATTCTTATACAGAATTTTACCTCATATCCATAAGCACTCAATAATGTATCCCATCAGGAGAATAAAGGTTAATGATGGAAAGGATAAAACATTCTTCACTACACTAAGTGGTTAAATCTGAAGCCCAACCTATCAGCTCCACCTCAACTAAGTTAAAACCAAAAGTTAATGTCAACTATCCAAACTGTAATAACAGGGAAAATATGTCTGAAATTGTAAACTCCATCAAACATTTCATCTAACATTAACCAAAAATCAGACTAAAACCCTCACCTTACCAAACGCTTATGCTCATCATTGTCTATGATTCCAGCAGTTTTTTCGGGCTTTATAAATTTCGTGTCAAACAAAGAAGCACCATCATCACTCTCACCATCTTCATCTCCTGCTCGTAAATTACCCGAAGCCTTGTGGCTGCTGGGATTCCTCCTGCTCAATACCCTTCCCGAAAAAGTTGACACAACACTTCTCCCTGTCTTCCTCATCCGACAATTCTACTCTCACTAACTTATCATATAACTCAGCTTTCTTTTCCATTGCTGCTGTTACGGGCAGAATGTTGTGGACCAGGTTTAATAGGAATTGAAATTAACTACAGGCCCAGTTTTATTTGTATTAAGCTGTTTCATGTATGGCCAGTGTCCATGGCCTTTATACTCTTGTTCTACTTCCAGTCACTGTGAGAAAAATGGAGAAAGAGTGTGAGAGGCAGAGAGCGATGTAAATCAGAGAATCTCTGGAATGCAGCTGTCATGAGAGTTGGTCTAGCATAAAGAGGAGCTGGTCTGTTGTGCAAGACACTGATAATCAATACCAAAAAGAATTTTCTCTCTCCAAGTTCTTTAATTCTATCTTCTTCTCCTATTTTCTGCTACTTCATTCTCTATATTCCTTCTTAGTTACTATCACTTTCTGTTGAACAATTTGGCTCATATCAGCTGCGTAGCTGGCTGATGCATCATTCACCGCTTTCAGCTCGAGTTTATTCCTATAAATCAAACAAACAAAACTGAGAGACCCAAAAAGAAAAAAATCTCTAATTTCCCCAATTAGATTAACTTAAAAAAAAAAAAAAAAAAACAATAATGATAATAAGAAGGGTAAAGAAATATACTTGAGGGAGCGAGCGTCGACGCCAGAGTTCTTAATGGAGAAGGTATCGTGAGGGCCGATCTTTTTTTTTTTTGGCGCGGTTTTACTCGCCATCGGGACCGTTTAATTCCTTGGATTTCTTGGATTCTTCCTGGGATTTGTAGAGTGGGGCTTAGAGTTCTAAGATGGAGGAGAAGCCGACGCCTTCGATGGTGCGGTGTTTCTTGGGCATGATGGAGGATTCCGTTATCCATCCTAGCGGCTCTTCCACCACCCTCCTCTTTCTCTCTTCCTCTGCCATGTTTTTATACTTTTCAACAAGTCAGATATCTCAATGATTCTATGCTCTATGCTATTGCCTAAAATTTCATTGCTACAAAATGAATTGAGGAGGTATGAGAGGAAAGGTAAAGGAAAGGAGAGCTAAGGAAAGTGGAAAACCTTTTCCTTTCCTATGCTTGGATATTACTTCAATTAAAATAAAAGAAAGAATGGGGATTGAGCATCTCTCTTTTACTCAAATGCTTTATTTTCAATTATCTCAAATTTTAAAAAAAATTAAAAAAAGAAATATGTAAACTTTTTTTAAATATAAAATGATATTTATGTCAATAAGTGATATTAATATTTATTTTTTTTATCACATTCAAACTCATCTCTTTATTTTTTTTATAATTTTCATCAAATTTTTATAGTATGGTGTTTAAATTTATTTTTATGAATCTTTTGTATGTATTTTTTTTGACATTTTTTTAATTTTATATGAAAATAAATTTAAAGTTATTATTGATTTAGACAACCATCATTGTCCATAACTAAAAAAATAATCATATTTTTTAATCTTTTAATTTATGCTGAATTTTTATATTTTTAAATTTATTTCATAAATTAAAAAATATAAATGAAAAAATACATATATTTGGAAAAATTATCTATATTAATGAGCTTTATTAAATTTGTAATAAAATATTAATAGAAATTTATAATTAATATTAGTTATCAAGACATATTTAAATTTTTTAATTTTATCAAGGAAGTTAATTTTTTAAAAAAATAATAATATAAAAATTTACAAACATACATTTTTTATGGATTAATAAAAATCCATCTTTTTTATTAAATTTTTTATTTAAACCATTAATTTTTAAATTATTTACATGATAAAAAAATTATTTAGAAAATTTATAATTAAAATATACTATAATAAATTATTTTTTTCTTTCTCGCTCTTTAACTAAAGAATAATTGTCAAAACTTTTTATTAATTTTAACTATTTAAACAAAAATAACATATTTTTTTCTTTTCTCAATAACCTTCATTCCTTTTTCTTTACTTTCCCCCTCTTTCCTTATCAATGTAAAGCATAGCGGAAATGACTTGCAAAGGAAGAAAATTTTCTTCTTCACTCTTCGGAAGGTTGTCTACTTCAAAATTCCCAGGGATGAAAATATCTCAAATCGTCCACTCAAAATATTCCCGTCTAAGCCGGGTTAATTGCACGCAGATTAGCCGACCTAGACTTCGCTTACGGAATTCGGAGTATCCCAAATCACAATCTCCCAGATTGTTTTCCTTGTGTATTTCTTCCATAATTTTAAAATTTTATATTTTGACCCCAGCTATTTATTCTCCTACCCTTGACCTTTTATTTTAACAAACCCTCTTCCAAGCGAAAAACAAACAACAAAAGTTTAACTCAATTTGAAAGGAAGAAATAGTATATGATTGTCATATATGCATCAGATTTCAGTTAACAGATAGATGTTTTACTCTTTTTGTGCTTCCATGAATAAAAACAGTGAAACAGCGGACACCCAACTTTTTCACTTTGGAAGACTGGAAAATGGGAAGTTTGCATTGATAAAGGATGAACTTATTGATAATCATATTCATAGTTATTTCTAAGAAAAGTCCCAGTAGAAAAACATCAATGATAAGAACTACAGGGTCTTCAAAGAAAGGTCATTTGCGCTTCTTTCCTGTTGCTGCTTCCCAAGCCTGTAATACCTGGTTTACTATTTCCTCGACACCATGCCCATGCTTCACCTGCAAATGTATAATTTATACAAATAATTAACAACTCCAAGGTTTTGTATGGTAATGCCAGGGGCCCCCAGCCTCCAATTAATAACACTGATGTGTTACTTCTGTGCTGCTGTGCACTTTGTGGAATTCGATGATGATATCAAGAAGGGGTTTGAGAGAATGAAAGGAAGATACAAGGTTCATGATGTTAAGATAACAAATATTGATTTGTACATTACTTGATACAATACATGAGAAATATATCACGCTTTTGTTTCACTATATGGTGATGAATGCACTGAACTACTCAACCAACCTGAGCGAAAACAAAGGGTCCTCCATCACGCATCCGAAGTGCATCACGCTCCATGACTCCCAGGTCAGCTCCAATTGCGGGTGCAAGGTCAGTCTTGTTTATCACCTATTTGAAATATTACAAATTTATCTTAGAATTCCCTATTTTACTTCTGAAACTGGAGACACTGTGGAAAAGGGAAAAAAAATTCAAAGCAATGCAACAGCACATTAATATAAAATCAAATACCAGGAGATCAGCTTGGGTTATGCCTGGGCCACCTTTCCTAGGGATTTTATCACCACCAGAGACATCTATTATATAGATGATATAGTCAGCTAACTCTCTGCTGAAGTTGGCAGCTAAATTATCTGCAGTCATAGAAGTTCACATAAACATGGACATTCCGATTGAACTTGGTTCTGCTATAGGCAACACTAAATGTATAACTGTTTTTGCTTCGCACTAATTTATAGAAGCAATTTGCAGCATGACTAGGAACTCTAATACATGCATAATCAGTAACTTATTCCTCACCAGTGAATATGAAAATAATTTATTGAGGACACTGGCTAATGCTCTTTTCTTTTTCATTCTTCCTTGACCAAAAAGAAAACATCTTCTTAGATAATTTCCACACTGTAAGCTCTTTTTTTTTCATTCTTCCTTGAGCAAAAAGAACGAAAAAAACTTCAAGATAATTTCCACAATGTGTTTCATTCTCAATATTTCCATACCAAATCACTTCAATAAAATATTGTACTTACCTCCTCCAGATTCACAAAGAAGTATATCTGTTTTGTACAATTTAGAGAGCTCCTCAAGAGGACCAAGATTGATGCTGATATCTTCACGGATAGCAGCATGTGGGCAGCCTCCTGTCTCTACAGCACGAATCCTTTCCTCTGGAAGTGCCCCATGTTTCACCAAGAACTCACCATCCTCTTTTGTGAATATATCATTTGTCACCTGAAGTTATGGCATGCTTCCCAATGTGTCATTCAAGTTTTGGCTTAAATTACTGCTAAAGAATAAATTTTAAGTCCTCATGCTGATTTGAGAACTCAAAGGAAAGAGAACTGTTTATATACACCATGAATCAGCAGTTCAAAGCTGAATGGTAGTCCAAAAGTACCAGCTAGTCCTCAAAGTAAGGCCTGTCTTCTAAAGTTAGTATATTCAATGTAACCTTAGTCAACACTGGAGTTAGGAGATGCAGTAAAAAAATTTTATGGCAGCTGTAGTTGCAATGAGAAACTTGATAACTTTTCTTAATCTTTTCAATAGTGGATGCCCAGGTTTATACCACATGGTACAACTAAGGTCAATCTATCCACCATCCTACTTAAAGAAACTACAGCCACAACTCCACATATGCTTAAAGAAAGACGACTGAGGCACGGCTTAATCAATTGTTCTCACAGTCTAGATAACATTCAGAAAGAAAACTTTTTTTCTAAAAGCATGTCCATGCATATCAAAGTGCTAAAGATTTAAATTTAACAGAAGGTAAACACTCATTATCAAATGATAGCTGAAAGAACAAGATGCATGATACTTACAGCAGCAAGACTGTACTTATCCCGCAGGAATTTACACAATGCCAGCATTAAAGCTGTTTTCCTGTATGGAATGAACCAATATTAAATCATATCCCATTTTATTAGGATGCTTCAGGATAGCAACAAGAAAATGCATTATATTCTGGGGAAAAATAATGACAGACCATGGCTAGAAAAGAATGAAGGCATTAGGTTGAACAAAATTCAAGAATTTAAATGAAACAAAACATAAAAACTTTGAAAAACTAGCATTATCCAACTAAACAAAGACCACAAACCTCAAAGAAAAGTGTAACATCCAGGGGCTTGGAGAGTAAACTACATCATTATACAAGACATTTCACGAAAAGAAAAGGTAGTACCATGGAATTTGGGGAGTGGATTCTATACTACTAACCAGCAAACACTAAGTCGAACTCTCCACTAATTCACATACAATAAAGCATCACTTTTGTTGAAAATTCTAATAAAGTAGCACAATTTATTATTTCCTAATCTTTATAGCGAAGAACTAGTAACAGATACAGATATACAAAATTAAGAGAAAGTGGAACCATGTTAATTGTTGATACAGAGAAAAAAAATTGAAAGGAAAATAGGAAGTACCCAGTACCAACAGGGCCACCGATACCAACAGTGAAGGCTCTCTCATTGAAATCCCTGTTGACAAGTGGTGGAGCTCTTCTGCTGAAGTATCCAGGTGAGTAAATAGGTTCATGTGAGTGTGGTGCCAATCCATCATGGCTATGGTAAACCCTACCATCAGCTCCCACCCAAGACGACGTTGATTTACTGTTGCATATCAACATATAATCAGAAACCAGATCATCAAAAGGTGAATACTCCATTAAAAACTGCAAAATATAGAAGAGAAAGTACTTACTCATGGTCATGGTCATGGTCATGGTCATGGTTATGGTCGTGGTCATGATGATGGTGGTGATGGTCGTGGTCATGATGGTCGTGGTCATGATGATCATTGGAAGCCATCTGACTGCTGTCTGGAAAGGTTTTACTGTGGGAGAGCCTTTCTTTGTGTGTGTTCACTAATCAGAGAGAAGTGAAGGGGGGAGAGTTAAGGTACACGGGGATTATGAAGCTGAAATCACAACAATGCCCCTGTCACATGTGATTTGAATTTACTCTTTTGTCGTTGTCTAGGAGTGGTTAGTACATTCATCAGATTCTGATTGAGGAATGAGTCTTTAATACATCATAAGTGGGAATCTTAATGCCAGATTAGAGTATTTAATTAGTAAGAATTAATGATGAGGCTTTTGATTCACACAATCTTATGTTTTGATTGGAAAAACTATTATCAAAAACTTTCTGTCGGTGTTTGCCCAATTTAAATTAATAATGGCAGCCAATTTTACATATTGCAGGATGATGTACTATTGAGGCGATGTCAGATTTTTATTCGGGTGCTATGGTTCTGGGCCTTTGGTCCTGGCTGGCTGGCTGGCTCAAGCCTCATATGCGGATATGCCAGGCCGTAAGTATTGGTCCATGAAGCCGTGATAGACAAATCCGTTGGGCTGGGGTAACACAAAATTTTCTTTCCTCTTTTTTTTTGCATAAATTAATCCAACGTACTAACATCTTTCTTAGGTCAAAAGATCAAAGTTGTGCCTATGTTACATGCTATAAAAAAAAATAGAAAAACAAAATGGTTCTTGTTTTGGTTGTGAGACAGTGAATAGCTTTTTTTTTCTTTTCTTTTCTTTTCTTTCTTTTTTTAACAAAAAAGTGAGTCTTTGATATTTTCATGACAAGCAATCTTTTACACACCCCAATTAGTATTCAATCAATCAGAAATTAGAATAGAACAACCTTCATCAGCATCAAGATATGAAAAAGTTACAAACATTGATTACATTTCTTTAACATATATAATCACACTATATACCAGCATTTCATTTTTATATAAACACCTACATCTCAAATATCAATTACCTAAAAACCCAAATTTTAATTGCAACAAAATGAATATCTACGAGAGAAAATTGATCATACTCCACTTTTTGATGCATATAAAGACTCCATCAAAAAGTATTCTTCGAGGAGTATGTGCTTTCAATCAGCATGAAAGGCATCAAAAAGTAGAGTATGAAACTTTTTGACTACTTAGACAGATCAATTTGTAGAAAGAAGAAATCAAAAACACGAAAGAATCCAAAGTTAGTCAAATAAATTCCTGAGTGCATTACGTTTGCCACATGGTTCAGGCAACAAGACCTTTTGGTTATCCCTTTGAGCGATCAGTACATTCTCTTGATCAGAAGGTGGAGTTGGCTGGTGGGGATTAGTGCCTAATATCAGCCCTTGCTTTTGTATATACTCCCATTTGTCTTGAAAGAGATAAAAGAAAGCAATCAAAGAGACCTCAGCAGTGAAAAGTATAGTCCAAACACCAACACTTCTTGATGTTTTCTTATGGTAGGCTTTTAAACCAGTGTAGATGTTAATGATCCCCACCAGAGATGTTACTGTTCCAAGAATCCAATGTGTTAAGTACCATGTACTTCTTCTTTTATTTCCTCTGTAAAAGAAAAGGGAATTAATATAATGTTAGAAATAAAAAGATTGCTGCCCAAGTTAAGATGAATAAAACTGCATATAAAGGGCATATGGAAAAAGTATGAAGTTTCGTGAATCAGTCAGTTTCAAAAATGTGAGAGAACATATGGTAAAATATTGAATTTGATTACCTACGTGGCCTGAAAAATCCAATCAAGGTTTGCATCCAAATGGCACCATAAAGGGCTAGACCTAATCTTTGGTGGCTGTTACTGAATGAATTCTCAAAATTCTTTATGGACATGACAGCTCCAATTGTTGCAAGCAGCACTGCAAGTATCTGTCAAATGGAAACAACAAAAAAAGAGTTAAAAATTATGGGGAAATTAAACAATATTACTGACTACTGAGCAAACAAAGCATAGACACATGATCATGATTATATAGACAAATAAAATACATGGTCTCCCTTTCTTCTTATTCAAGTCTTCATGATAAACATGATTAAGTTGGTTTAGATCAGTTACTGGAAAAAAACATGTACTGTTTGAAGAAATTAAAAAATCGTGGACAGTATCATTAAAGTGAAAGTGGGTTACAATATTGGTGAAACAAAACAAACAAGCAGCTCTTTCTGATCTCTTCTTTGCAACCAAATAAGAGTTATGATCTGCATCTATCTGTAAAATTAGTTTACATCAGTTTATATGCTATGTATAAGTATGCTATATGTAAATATAGATATAATTTGCAGACAAGAAATCAAGAAGAGACTACCTGCAATATGGCATGGAGATAGAAGAAAACTTTAACCCTTCTCCCACCTTCCTCTTTGTTGGCCATTCTAATAGTAAGTATCCCAACAGGCATTAAGAACCCCATGGAAACCCATAGGAGAAGGCCATGAACCGTGATATACGATGTCATTTGAGGACTCAGCTGCAATATTGTTGTTTATTAAAGAAACACGGTTAAACTCATACTCAGCATGAATTTTCTTGTTGATTATCTTCGGAATTTAGTTCAAAGACAAAGAATGGGTAGATGACATTAGAGTGAAATTGATTAGAGATCAGGTAGTAGATTTGAACTATATATTGATCACTAATTTGGACTTCCTAGGTGGGAAAACAAACTTTTACAAAAATTTGGCATACCTTGTGTACATTTTCTTTAATGCTCTTGTGATTGCTGGATGCAGTAAACTCCCAATGAGATGAGCAAGAAACAAGTGGTAAAAGAAAAACATAGTATAATGCAGGAATGGTGAATGACCCTAGCAAATGAGAAACTTGCATCTTCAATATCCAAGGCAATGGAGAAGAAATTAAAGCATAAAAACCCAGCTTCAACTACCAACCCTCTTTCTTTTTTCTTCCTCTCAAAACATCAGCTTTCCCATACCTTTGTTTATGAAGATATAGAAAGATTACATTTGACTAAATTTAATTTGAGTGGCCATTAGAGCATTAGAGAGGAGAGAAAAAAGTAGTGTATAAAATGAGTCAGCTCTTCAAGAAACTGCGTAACTTTGCTTTTTGTATAAAGAAGCTAATGTGCTATGATTAGAGAAAAATTCAAAAAGGGGAGGTGCAACCTACCATTCAGTATTGGCTTAAAGATTTTAGAAGCATGGGTAATTCATGGTGGTTGTAAGAAAAAGATTATTATATATAATTATATATAGGATAAAAAGGTAACTGAGGGTTATCACTAGACAAATAGTAAGAACTTCAACATTGTGGGGTTGATATTGCCTGCACTTTTTGGTTGCAGATGATGGCAAAAACACAAGATGGTCATGATTTTAATGGATGGAAGGTCGAGAAGGGCGGTGTGGGTCGGTTACACAGTTGACAAAGAAGCTTATCTAATACTAGATTCATTCCTCAATAATTTATACTTCATCAAATCTTAATATTAGATCTGACTATCTAATTACTTTATTGCTGAAATATATATGTCTGCAACTATATCTAATGATTCAAGAACCAGTTTTTAGAGGCATAAATTCTTTAAAAAAAATTTGCTTCCTTCTAATAATAATAATAAAAGAAAAAAAAAAAACATTTGCTTTCATTTTAAAAAATAATAATTGGTCATTGAACGTTAAAAGCAACAGAATTATTGCTATATATGTTGAAATTCTTTAAAAAAAATATTGACAAATGGAGCCTTATAATCCTAGTAAGGGAAGAAATACATTGGGGAAAAAGGCAGAGAGCTACACGAGTAATTTCTATTCAGCTGTCTTGGCCACAATGTTCCTAGTCATCTCTCTCTCTCCCCCCCCCCCCTCTCTTTACCCTTTCCTTCTCCAATCTCTTATTACGTGCCTTGTGTTTGACATTCTTTGCTCAACAATGGCAGGAAAGGCACATCGTTTTCAGTTATGTAGAATCTTTTGGCCTATGTTAAGACAGATACTGAACGCAAAACACGGGATATACAAAATTCTAAGACGGACATCAACCTAATTCGGCATTTCAATCTTATTCTACATTAATCCAACCCCCCTTTTTTTTTGGCTGATGTTGACAAAGTTTCAATTGATGCAACGAGGAAAAGAAAAAAAAATACTCGGATGACCCATTTAAAACAAGATGGTGGTAAAAGAAAGGCATGTGGGCTGAGAGACATGCAGATTGTGCAACTTTTTTTGATGCTGGCATTGGCTAAAATCAAAGATAGTGATTGAAAAACTAAACTCCTCTTTGTCCCACCATGGCAATTGAGCACTGCACTCGATTTCTTCAGATTCATGATAACAACGCGCACAAACACAAACTGACAGATCGCCACGAAATGTCGTAGTTTGTTTGGCTAGTTGATGAAGACATATAATCCAATCTTGTAGATTCACATGTGAATATGCTTCAACCTCTATTACCGAAATTAATCCAATTATTGTTGAAATGAGCTCTATTGTTATTTGACGACTTACCAATACATCCAATAAATTTAATGAATCTTAACTTCAACAACTAAAGTGGGAATGTTATGGGGAAGGGTACTATAGCATACCCTCAGAATTCGACCAAAACAAAATTTTGAAATAGACCCAGGAAAAAAAGTAACCCTAGAAATCAGAATCATTAATCTTGCAGCAGCACTGATCTAAAACTAGCAAAAATTGCTAGTTCTTTCATTTATTGGTTTTCAATTAATCTTTTTGGTTTGAAAAATGACAGCAAACTTGAAAAAGGATATTACTGATTAGGACGGCCCTCTGATTAAAGCTATGTCGTAAAACATCTTTTCGTTAATTCCTCAACTGAATAATGACATTCATCTTTTGCAAAGTCGCAGTAATCATTACCCATTGCATTATATTCAATAAGCAATTTTTAAAGAGAGCAAAGGCTCTCATTATTCTATCAGCATCATCACTGATTTGGTAGGCTATCAGCATCATCATCATCCTCGTTATTCTTTTCTCTCTATGTTAACCAAAACCCTGTTTTTTTTTTTTTTTTTTTTTTGGGGGGTGGGGGGCGGGGTGGAGGGGTGGGGAGGGGGGAGTTTAACCTGGTAGATTTTGTATGGTTGTTAACCATTTCATACATATATAAACGTCAAATGGGTGCTATATAAAATATCAAACTCAAAAGTGGAATACAAATTAAATGATCCTTACCTCTGCAACTTTACTTTGCTAGGGTAATGTGTGTTTGGGCTCCACGTTCTGAAGGAAAACAACAAAATAACATTATTTGTCTTAAATTTTTAATTTTGATTAAACGTTGGTTTTTACCATAATAGAAGCTATAATTATCAAATGGATTGGGTTTCAGTGGTCTTTGTTGGCTCATATGATTGTGTTTATGGTTAATACTTGTCTTGGTGGGCTGAGTTATCGATTGACAATTGCTATTGTTATTAGCCATATGTTAACTAACAAAAGCCAGTTAGTTACTAATTGATTAGTTTGAATGAAGGGAAGAAGGTGCTTCTTTTAGGAGGGTGAAATGCATATTCGAGTTCTTGTTGCTGGCTCTTCATGATTTTCTAATCAGTAGTAAAAAATAAAACAAAAACAGGTGGTTTTGGGGATTGGGAGTGATTCACAGTATATGTTCATGCTTATTGGATTAACTTATAATTTTTGGAAATGAAGTAACTGACTAATCGTTTTGAGACGATGGTGGCTATCCTATGTGTCACAAGCATGAAGAGAATGGACCACTGATTTATTCACTGTTGCATCCATGTACGTAGATAAGATAAATAGAAACATACAAAATATGGTTAAACTGATAATTGCATGATTTGAACAACGACACAAAGTAGAATAACTAGAAAATTTTGTTTTGTAATGCATACTTTTGTAGGGCTATTTGATTATAAGAAACAATGTCGTTTTTTGTTATCAAATTCGACATCAGCGTCTATTCACTGAATGATAATCTTATTACTTGTGATGCATTGATGTCCAATGAAACAGGGCCATTCATGACAGAAAAGAACATTAGAGCCCTTTAATTCCAGTCAACCTGAGGGACATTCACTGGAGGGATTATTGCTCATATCACTGGGCTAAATACCGGTAAAGAACCTGAGTCCCTTATTCGAAGAAGGAATTGAAACCGCTGCAGCAGAGAATTCTAGCAGTAAAATGTTACACCTCCACACTAAACTATCCTATTTTAAATCCTTAAAGCCTGTGTATGAACGATCAAATTTCCCACTCCGAACATGAGAAGGGCCTGATTTGACATGGTGAGCTCGAAGTAAATTGTTTTAGGACTAGCAAGTTGCCGTGACAAATCCAAACCCTACCGAAGAGATTTCTAACATTAAATTATACTTCATATGAAAGAGAAATGACAATCACATCCCATACCATCTTTTATAAGTAAACAAAATGAGATATTGAAACTCAAACGAACCAAGTTCAACCTGTCTGACAGTCTAGGCTTCTCTAATGAAAACAGCATCCGATCAACAAACTGATTGTTCACTACCAAATATTTCAGAACTAGAACCACCTTCTGACTCTCCATAATCAAATAAGAGAAATTACATAAACAAGTTGGGCCTTGATGCCTTGTAGGTTGTCTTCAACTTCCTGGTAGGTGGCCTCACCTTCTTGAAAACCAAGGGGAACTTTATTTTGGAGTTGTGGAACTGCTTGGTGCTGTCCCTCTTGCATAGCTTAGCTGGGATGGTTGCAGTCTTGATAATCTGAATGCAAGGGAACCTGACTCTGTGGCGAGAAGCCATCTCGTTGTACATCTGTTCAACAGCTCCATTCAATGTAGTGTCACGGTATTCCTTGTACATGTTGTGATAACCGGTACGGCTTTGATAACGAAGCCAAATACCATAATTCTTGATCTTGGTAGGATTCCTCTCAAAAATCTGCAGAGAATTTAATTTAGACAAAGGGCATTGAAAAGAAAATCGAAGAATGCATCAGAACCAAGTTACTGATTGTGTATCAGATAATCAATTTGCAATCTATAGCATTTCCTTTTAAAAAGTAGAAGCCATCTTATAAATAGTAAATGACTTGTGATCAACTAGCAAAGATAAGAGCTAGGAGATCACAAGTAAGGGTTACAACTTGTTGGTATCATCTTGTTATCAAGGATTTCAAACCAATTTAGATTCCAAGAACTGTTTTTGCAATCAAAATCTTAAATATATAGTCCCAAAAAAACTAGATAACTAAATCATTCAATGCAATGGCACTCAGGAAACAAAAGACGAACAAGTTATAAAAAATACTTTTCTACAATGAAAAGGTGATAGCATAAAAGACCAGAAACTTCATATTCAAGATGCATGAAATTCTTAAAGTGTAAATAAAATTGGCATGAAAGCCTTAAGATTAGATGTTTCTTCCTATCTAATTCCCATGTTTCTCACGGGACAAATTCCAAAATGCTAGCAGATCAAACACAAATTTCCATCTAAATTGCACAGACAGAAGCTAATTGAAAGCAAATCCCCCTAAATAGTTTCAGACAGAGGCCAACATGACCCCAGCTCTAACAGAATTATCAGAACATACAAACAAAAGGGTACTTCTATTCACATTTCAACATAACATCCCATAATAAATTACTTCACACAAAGTGAATCATCATATAAATAACATTGAGCGCATACCTCATTAATGGCAAGGACTTGACCATTGCTCTTCTTAACCTTCTTCAGCTTCCTCAAGAAGTACCTGATTAATATTCAAGGACAAACACTTCATCAAATGGGATTTAAATTAAACCCCAGAAAAACACAAATGGCAATGAAAACAATCACTAACCAGAACTTGGACTTGGCCCGAACCTCATTGGTGGCCCAAAGCTTCATCCTGTAAATCTTGGGATGCTCATCGCTCTCTGTTGGGAGAGCCCTCCCAACAACCTGGTACTGGTGAAACTGCAACCATAAACAACACCAAAGTCAAAACCTTGATCCTTTTTCCTATGTTAAACAACAACAGCTTAAAACATTAATCCTCCCTTAGATTTCTAATAAACTCATTAAATCAATAGAAAATAAAGCTTTTTTTTCCCATATTTTACTAACAATTTCCAACGAAATGAATCGAAACCAAGCATAAGATAACCAAAAAAAAAAAGCCCAAATCGAGGAATAATCGTCGAATTCTGAAGCTAAAAAGAGGGAAATCAACCCGGCTGTGGGAGATAT